CGGGAGGGGGGAGGGGGAGGGGGGGAGGGGGGGAAGGGGGGGGAGAATGGGATCTTCTACAGAGACAAAAAATGTGGTGGAAGGGAGGGGGAAAGGAAGAAAGGGGGGAGGGGAGGGGGGGGGAGGGGGGGAGGGGACTGGTCATGGCCGGCTGGTCACCACACTGATCATGACTACTACCACACTGATCATGACTACCATCACACTGATCATGACTACCATCACACTGATCATGACTACCATCACACTGATCATGACTACCATCACACTGATCATGACTACCATCACACTGATCATGACTACCATCACACTGATCATGACTACCACCACACTGATCATGACTACTACCACACTGATCATGACTACTACCACACTGATCATGACTACTACCACACTGATCATGACTACCATCACACTGATCATGACTACCACCACACTGATCATGACTACCATCACACTGATCATGACTACCATCACACTGATCATGACTACCATCACACTGATCATGACTACCATCACACTGATCATGACTACCATCACACTGATCATGACTACCATCACACTGATCATGACTACCATCACACTGATCATGACTACCACCACACTGATCATGACTACCTCCACACTGATCATGACTACCCCCACCCCCATCACGACAACGACCAAGTCCACCTGACTCCCCCCTCCCCCCCCCACCCCACCCCCCACCCCATGGCCGACCAATGGATCTCCCGTTCCAAGCCTGCGACCCCACCTCCCCCCACCCCGCCCACCACACAGACACGCCTCCCATTCCCCCGCAAGCGCACAAGACAGCGGCGCGAACCGACCGAGCCCGCTCCGCGCGGGAGACGAGCGCAGCGACGACGACGGAAGCGCCCCCGGCTCTTGCTCCAGCGGCCGTCCTTTGCTGCCCTCCCGGGACGATCGACGGCTGCGGCAGAGCCATCACGCCCAGCGCGGAGAGGCCCGGTCTCCCGCCCACCGCCATCAACCGCCTTGCACGACGCGGTCCGCCAGACGGCCGCACTGGCTGCCGCCGCAGATCGCACCGTCCGCGCCAAGGCGCCGTCCTCTCCGCACCAGTCCAAGCAAGTCCCTCTCGACGCCTTCTACCGCCCATCCTCCCCGGCCCCACCCTCGCCTCCGCCCTCGCCCCCGCCTCCCGAATCGCACTCTCCGTCTCCTCCCTCATCGCCTCTCCTCCGCGTTGTCCCGCCCTCCTCGCTCGAGCCGCTCTCCTCCTCCCCGCCTCCCCTCCCGTCGTCCTCGCCGTCCGCCTCTGCCACCTTCGGCTCATTCGGCACTATCTCGTCGTCGCTGGCAGCATCGCTCGCTAACGATCCACTGTTCATGGCCAAGCTCGACGAGGCCCTCGACTCTTAACCCTTTACGGTGCGGAATGGACAAACGTGTCCATCGCGCAAGCCGCGCTCCGCGACGCTCCACAGACGTCGCAACGCCAATCAATCGCGGTGTAAGAGTAGTACAGTGTGTTAACGGCTGCTGTGGCCACATGTGGGCCACAACAGAAAACAGTCGGCGATGCAGAGATGGACGCCGCACGCGGCGCAAAAGGTCTGCGGCCGCGATCGCTTACCATGAAGCTTCCGGCAGGCGAGGCAGCCGCATCGCAGAGCGGCTCACTGCAGAGGCGCTTTCTTGCCGAGAGTGCCGGCGCAGAGGGACGCTTCCACTTGCGCGACGGCGCGGAGCTGACGGCGTCGGCACTGGCGGCGAGAGCGTCGATGATGTCGTAGAGAAAAACCACGCGAGTCGTGGCGGGGTGTGGGCTCGCGTCAGCGTAGAGCGCGTACGCGTTGATGAGCGCGGCGTCCAGAATCCAGTAGAAGATGGCGTACCACCACTCGCGCGGCCACGCCGACCGGCAAGCTCGTCCGTCGCAAGGTCCTCGCGCTCTTCCGTCTGGCCGCTGTGTTCAACTCTGGCATGCTCTCCTTCCCGGTCGTCGGGGTCGTCATCGCGACGGCAACTCGGGCATCCTTCAGGCGGGCGTCTACGTGTCAGCCGCCATCAGGTGCAGGCGCGCCTCCCACCTCAAGCCGCAGGCCAAGCAGGCGTCACGCAGCGTCGGTCGGTGACCTGAAAGTCGAGCATCATCGAGTTCTTCACTTTGAGACGCGCGACAACGTGTCCGAACGACCGTACCGTTAAGGGTTAATCGCCCATCTTTACCCAACCTACGCCAGGCCAAGACAGTTGCTCGCCGCTGCGCCTGCCGACGGTGAGGCCGGAAACAACGGTCCGCGCGGTGCGTCGGCGTCGGCCCCGTCCTCGCCTTCGCCCGCCCCACTCTCGCCCTCACTCCCGCCGTCGTCGATCGAGTCCGACTCGTACTCGAGGAGCGCTTTGCCGGCGAGCGGCGAGTACGCCTTTTTGTGGATGTTGGCGTGCGTCGTGAGGAGCTCCGACGCAACCGAGGCGAGCGGGTCCTTCAGCGGCCATGCGCCCGACATGGTCACCCACGCGTGCCGCTTCACCATCTCGAGCGTCATCCGCTGGCTCGGATCCTTGTATAGCAGGCCCTGGAGCAGATCGTCCAGCAGCGGATCGATCGGGTGCGGATACGCCAGCGGCGCCTCACGGATCTCCTCGTAGATCGCAAACTCCGACGCCGCCAGAAAAGGCGGCCGCCCAAAGATAAACACGTACAGAGTCACCCCCAGCGCCCATACATCGATGGCCCGCCCAGAGTACTTGCCACCAGAGATAATTTCCGGCGCAAGAAACGCCGGCGAGCCCTCGGTCCGCTCCAGAAGGTCGTCGTCGCCCTCAAACATGACAGAGACAGAAAAGTCCGAAATCTTGACCACCTCGGTCATCCGCATCACCACAGGACTCGCCGCCGCCGCCGACGATGCCCGACTCGATCTGCCACCACCACTTGATCCTGCGCCCACCCCACTCTCGGGCGCCGCGTCGTCGACAGACAGGCCTCCTGACGCATGCCGCTCAAGTGCCGCGTCGCACTTACCGTCGTCTGCAGACTCCGAGTCGCTTCCGTCCCCGCCGTCACCCACAGGCATTAGCACCTCGGCCAACAGCAGGTTCTCGGGCTTGATGTCGCGGTGAACAATGCCCGACCGGTGGAGGTACGAGAGCCCGCACACCACATCGCGAAAGTACTTGCGCGCGAGGTGCAGGTCCAGCGGCTCCTGCTCCAGTACAGACTTCATCAGCGGCCGGTCCATGTGTTCCATTACCACAAACATCTTGTGCACCTCCGGGTCGTCGATAACCTCGTAGATCTTGACCACGTTGGGGTGCGCCAGCTGTTTCATGATTGCAATCTCGTTGTACGCGTCCTCGAGCATCGACGGCGAGAGAAAGCCGGCCTTGCGCTTGCGCGCGAGCATGTCCTTGTTAAACACCTTGATCGCCACCTGCTCACCCGTCTCCGAGTTGATGCCCAGCCGGACCTTGCCGTACGACCCTTTGCCGAGCGTGTGCAGGAGAATGTACTGGTTGACCCAGTTAAACCCGTCCTCGTCCATCGACCGCATCATCCGCGGCGTGTGTGCCACTCCGTCAGCGAGCGCAGGACTCGGCGAGAGCATAAGCTCCGACTCACACGGCGTCTTTCGCTGCGGCGTCGCCCCGACCTCGCGCTCGTCACCCTCCTCCTCATCACCGTCGGTGTGAAGGACAAGCAGCGGGAGCGTTCCACGTTGCTCGGACCACAGCGAGTGCCGACGGAACGCTTCCAACGTCTCCTCGTGTGTCCGGAACGCAATCGGCGCGTTGTCGTCGATCGTCGAGAACGACGAGTCAGAGACAGAGTCGGACCGCGCCCCGTCGGCAGAGTCCACTCCGTCGCTTCCACTTCCACTCTCGTCGTACGAGTACGCGTACACATACTCGCCCTCCACCGGACTGGCGTTCCCCATGATCACCAAGTCGTCGGCTAGGATCTGCGACCCAAGTCCAAGCGAGCCCGACATCGGCGGCGTCCCGTTGCCGCCCCACCCCTGCAGTGCTGCCGCAAAAAACAGGTTGTCGTCATCGTCGTCGTCGCCGCCACCGCCGTCACCATCAACACCAATGCCACTGCCACCACTGCCGCCACCACTCCGGCCAGCCGTATCAAGTACAACCACGTCCTCGGACGCCACCTTCCCATATGACCCGAGCCCAAGCGAGCCCGACATCGGCGGCGTACCTTCACCGCCCCATCCCTGAAGCGCCGTCGCGAAAAAGTCATTGTCGTCGTCGGTGTCTCCGGCTGCCGACCCTGACCCGGAGCGATCTCTACATGATCCACCGTCAACTCTAGCCGCGCTCGAACAATCCGACCTTGGCCCCGAGCTTGAGCTTGAGCTTGAGCTTGAGCTTGAGCTCGAGCTTGAACTCGAGCTTGAGCTTGAGTTGGACGCTCCCGACCTGGATCCGGACCCGGACCCGTCCGCGGCCTCGACAGACGTCACCACCACGCCCTCTCCACCCTCCACACCATCTGCGCCAGACACACCAGCCATCACTCCGTCTGTGGCAGTTCCCGACTGAGACCGAGCCTGATCCACAGGCACCACTGCAGCCTTACCGGGCCCCGAGTTGATGGACGGCGAGCGACGACCCACAAGCACAACCGGTGTACCCTGCAAGGACAACGAGGTGGACACTGAGGTCGACAACGCACCCGAGCTGGCAGAGATAGAGACAGCCACCGGAGCGAGAGCTAACGGCGAAGCAGCCACCGATGACAAAGTCGACGACGGCGAAGCAGACGAAGCAGACGAGACAAACGAAGCAGACGACGACGACGAAGCCGTTGCTGTTGCTGTTGCTGTTGCTGTTGCTGTTGCTGTTGCTGTTGCTGTTGCGGTTGTGGTTGTGGTTGCTGCTGTTGCTGCTGCTGCTGCTGCCACCCCTGGTGTTGTTGCTGTTGTTGCTGTTGGTGTTGTTGGTGTTGTTGGTCCCGCTGCTGGTCCCGCTGCTTGTGTTGCGTGTGCTTGCAAGCCAAGGCACGTCCTTCCCCTCAACACCCCCCCTGTTGTCGACCTTGGAGAAGTCTTTCCTACCGCGGCGGGTGGAGTGGCCGAGGTGGTGGTGGTGGTGGTGGTGGTGACGGTGGTGGTGGTGGCGGTGGCGGTGGCGGTGGCGGCGGTGTTGGTGCTGGCGGGGTGACCGTCACCATTCCCAGACCATGACCACAACCCGGCTGGCTGACCATACCCCCGCACGGACCGCCACCCCCGCCACTTCCACCTCCACCACCAGTCCGTCTCGCTTGCAGAGGAAGTGACCGTCTCCGCATCGTATTGATCGAACGGGTACTCGTCCTGGTCGTCGTCGCCGTCGTCGCCCGTGCCTGCCGCCTGTGGTTGTTCGCTGACTCTCTGCCGGCCTGTCGGTTCGTGGGCGACTTGCCGCAGCCATCATCATCTGATCCGCCTGCCCGTACCGATGTCCGTTGAAAGTGTGTGGGAGACAAAGAGACTCTTCGCCCGGTCACATGGAGCTCTATCTGGGACATCCCTGATGCCGCTCTAGATGCAATCAGCGAACTGCGCTGCGAGTTGGCTGTCCCGCACTCTCGGCCATCCCCCTCCGCCAAACAACGCTCACTCGGCGAACAAAGTGTCCCGGCAACTGCCAAACCACTTCCTGCCAATCCCCCCCCCCCCCCCCAACACAAATTTTTGCACTTCCCACCCCCCACCCCCCATCCCCCCCCAAACCCCAACCGTGCTCCATCCATCGAGCGCGACACAGCGTCCTGCTCACGGCCACCCCACTCTTCGCCATGTTCACCTACCCGCACCACGGGGAGACGCGGCTCTCGGCCGGGCAGCACGCGTTTGCCTCGCTCATCTCAGGCGGAGTAGCAACCACCCTCGTCGCCCCGCTCACCCTTGTCAAGACTGTCCTCCAGGCCGGTGAGCACGCCCGGCCGCTCTCCGCCGCCTCCATCGCCGCCGCCAAGGCGCTGCCGGAAGACGCCGCAGCTGCCGCCATCGACGCCTCGCGCTTTGCCCCGACTCGTGTCCGCGACATCATTGCGGCTGTCATGCAGTCTTCGTCATCGAGCTCATCATCATCATCAGCAGCAGCGGCATCACCATCGTCGTCGTCGTCGTCGTCGTCGTCGTCGCTATCGCTACGCAAGGTCTTGCGGCTCTGGCGTGGGCACTCGGCCACCCTTGTCCGGCTGGTCCCGCTGGTGGGGCTGCAGACAGGGCTGGGCTCGTACGCGCTGGCGCGGACGGCAGATCCTATCTCGGGCCACGTCAACGGCGATGATCAGTGGTTGGCGGCCGCGGGCGCCGCCTTTGCCGCCCGCTGCGTCGCCCATCCCGTCGACATGTTCCGCACCCGGATGATGGTCGACCCGGTCCGCCACCCCACCCTCCTCTCCGCCCGCCGGGCCGTCAAGATTGAGGGCGGCCGCTCGACACTCAATGGCGTCACCACCCTGCTGGTCGACACTCTGCCGTACGCTGCCATTGCTGCCTACGTCTACGCTGCCATCATCGACGCCTTTGACCTCCCCTCGTACGCCACCCTCGGCATCCACCATACCATTGCCGCCTCGTCCGCCGCCACTTTTGCGGCGCAGACAGCCATGTATCCCATTGAGACCATGCGCCGCAGATTGCAGGCCCAGGAGATTCGGCCCATGCCCGACATTGCCCTCGACCCGCTCGAGCAGCCCAAGGCCAAGCCAGCATCGGCCGCCGCCACCACCGGCGCTGTCGATGCCTCGGCCTCGGCCGCCTCCACCGTCGAGTCTGCCGCGCTTGCGCCCAAGGCCCGCGGCGCTGCCGTCGAGATCGAGGGCGTCTTTGCCGGCATTCCGCAGCTCGGCCTCCGTGCCATCTTCCGCGGTATTCTCGTCTCCTCGCTCCGGGTCATCCCGGTCGTCACTGCCGGCGCGCTTACCTACGAGGCCATCAAGAACGGCTTCCTCTACCACAACGGCTACACCTCGAGTCCGTTTGCCGACACTCCACTGCCCGACGTCGACCAGACCAAGCCGGCCGGCCGCGCCATCCTGCACCCCCCGTCGCCGTAAAGCAGAGCCCCTTGTTCACTCTCCGGCTTTATTATCGCTTTCACCGGCAACAATTATCGCTTGCGCTTACCACGGCCCTTAAACGAGAGGTGCACTGGTGTGGCGGACGTAATGTTGTAGTACGCGAGGCTCTTGTTGTTGGAGAGCGAGGCGATGGTACCCGTCGCAAACGCCATCTTGGACAGCGGCATGCCATTGAGCGCTGCAGAGAGCTTGGGCTTGAGGTCGGCAATCGTGTCGCGGACGTCGAGCTCGATTGTCACTACCTGTCCGTTGAAGCCAAACTTGGCGTGCGCCGCCTCGCTGGGGACGTGGACCGCCACGGCCACCTTGCCCGGGTGCGCTACCGCAAACTGCGCCTCTGGCTGGAGCCCTCCGCCGCCACCGCCGGTGGCCGACGCTCTCGCTGCCCCGGCGCCAGCTGCCGACCCACCCATCGTCTTCTGTCGCTTTGCCAGCGGAGCGCTGCCTGGTTGCAGCATGCCATAACCGGGATGCGGCGGGTTGCTCGGGTTGCTCGGGTGGAACGGAGGTCCACCCGGCTTGCCCGGACCGCCCTGCACGTGCATCTGCGGCGGGTACGGCCCACCAGCGCCAGCCATCGGGTATCCGCTCGGCGGGCGGTAGCCCTGGCCTGGGTGACCCGGATACTGGGGCGGCATGCGAGGCTGGTGGTGCGGCTGCTGCTGCGGGGGCGGGAGCTGAAGCGGTCGCGATGCTGCCGCAGGCCGAGGACCAATGACCTGGCCCTGCTGCGGCGCTGAGCCATTGCTCGCGCTTGCCCGCTGCTGCTCGGCGGCGCGCTTGCGCGCAGCGGCCTTTGCGGCCTTTGCGGTTGACTTGTCACCGTCCCAGATGATGGGCGCGGGCTTGGCGTCGCCGCTCTCATTGTTGCCGCTACCGTCGCCGGACGAGACAAAGATGTCGGACCGGGCCTGAGCGAGCCGCTTGAGGTGGCCCGAGATGGCTGGTCCCTGGGCGAGCGCGGTGGTCTTACGCGCGGCCTCTTCGGCAGCGCGGTGCTTGGCCCACTTGGGATCAAGGAGCTCGATCCGTCGGTGCTCCTCAAAGTCGTCGAGCGGGACCGACTGGCCACACAGCTCGCAGATGGCCGTCTTGGCCGCCGCCACCCGCGACGCCGCGTCCAGCACCTTGGGCTCGTAGTTCTTGACAATCTTGACGCCGGCCGGCGGCGGCGCCGGCTTGGGCGCGGCGACAGCAGGGGCGGGTGTGGGGGCAGGGACGGGTGCGGGGGCAGGCGCCGGTGCGACCGCAGCCGACTCATCGTCGTCCGACATGTCCATGTCGGCGTCATCGTTATCATCTTCGACGGCGCCGTCGACAAAGCCAGCGGGGACGCCGGCAGGCAGCACTGTTTGGGCGGCACGGGCGAGGGCTGGGATGGGTGCGCCGCCGGCACGGGTGCGGTTTCTGGCCGAAGTCAGGACGACCAGCTCGGCGCCGTCGTGCGCGGACGGGTCAATGTCGGCCGGAGTGACTGTCGAGACAATGACAAAGTCGTGCCAGTCGATGCGGGCTGCAGGGGCGAGGCCGGCGACCCGAGACTCGGGTAGCTCCTTCTTGTCCTTGGTTCGCTTGTAGCGGACATACTCGTACTTTGCGGTAGCGGCGCCTACCACCGCGGCCTTGGAGCTCGCAGCCTTGGCCAGCCGCTGGCGATCCGAGTCCGGCAGATCGATGACCCGCTTGTACTGGTCGATAAACTGCAGAAAGACCGGGTGGAGCGAGTGCGAGGGCCGGAGAAAGCCCATGAGCGCGTTGCCCTGCTCACGCGCCGCGATGGTCTCCATGAACTTGGCGCCGTGGACGGCCACAAACCGCGCCATGAGCTTGATGACGTCGAGGTCCTTGGCGGTGAGCGCCGGCGCCTGGGTGAGGAGAAAGTGGTTCGGTGGCGGCTCTGGAACGGTAAAGGCAGCGGCGGCCTCTGCCTCCATGGCCTCTTGTGTCGTCACGGCCGCCTGCAGCGTCTCCTGCAGTTGGCGGGCCTCGGACGAGAGGACGATCTCCTGAGCAGGCGCGTCCTTGCGCAGCGCGCGGCGGGCCTGTTCCAAGCGGAAGGCGTAATAAGCATGATACGGCGACTTTGGATCGAGAAAGGCGAACTTGTCGTTGCCGGCCTCTTGCTTCCGGATCTTGTCCTCGTACTCGTCGCCCGACGACGCGATGAACTTGGCCGTCCTGTCGCAGATGGCTGCAGAGCGACGACCACGAGTACGGCCACGACCATAGCACAGCGCCAACCCAACCACAACCACCGCAACCACCGCCCCCCAATCCACCGTCCCATGTCCATACCCATCCCTCTCGGTGAGTCCCTTTGCCCGCCCATCACCCTCCCCCTCCCCACCCCCCCCCCTCCCCCCCTCCCCCCCCCCCCCTCCCCCCCCCCCTTCCTCTGCTACGTACTCTTCACCCCAGGAGGGGGATTGGTAATAGGTGCCACCGCAGACGACATCCACTCCTCCCCACCAATACCAAGCTGAGTGTCTCCCCTTCTCAACTCCTCTTCTTTCCGCCACCAGCTGTCGGTGTCGCTCTCGGCTGCCTCCGGTCACTTTCCCGTTCATCACCCACGACATGTAGCACCGATACACAGAGCCACACCACCTCATCGTATGACCAAATACATGATCAAACACATTATCATCGTCATCATCCAGACCATACAACCACCATCCACCGCCATCCACCATCGGCCAGCCCATACCACCACCATACCACCCCCATACCACCACCATCCACCACCATCCACCACCGTACCACCACCATACCACCACCATCCACCCCCGTACCACCCCCATACCACCATCAGCCAGCCCATACCACCACCATCCACCCCCATACCACCACCATACCACCATCAGCCAGCCCATGTGTCGCACCGTGACCCGGCATGGAACACTCCCTCGTCGAGCGGCAGACGACGGACGACAACAGGAGCAACAGCTGACGCAAGACAACCAGCACACACTCCATGCTCCAGACATCTCTGCTGCGGTCTGTGGAGCATGCGGCAAACCGGGCCAAGCAAGAGTACTCGGGGATGACCCGTGCGCTGGCGGGGACAGCGAGCGAGGGACGGGCTGTGTCGTGGGCGTACCTCTCGGAACACTCGCGCGGTGGTCTCCAGGTCATCACCGCCCTCGAGTATGCTATGTCCAATGGTCTCTTCCCGACAAGCTCGTTGTGGTCTCCTCTGGAGGCCATGCTGGTTAATGGCGCTGCTGTCGATGATGCTGTGCTGGACGATTTGTCTCATGTCCATGCCAAGCTCTCTCTCGTTGTCTCGCCCATGGGCAAGGCCCGTGCCTGGCTCCGCCTCACCCTCAACAGCAGATCGCTGGCCGGCGCCATCAGAGCGCTCTTCAGTCCGAATGCCTTTGATGCCCTTCTCATTCGTTCGCACTACCAGGATGATGCTCTCCTCCTCGACGATGCCATGCGCGGCGCGCTCTGCGACATCCTTGATCGCCTCGCTGAAGCCGTTACCTTCCGCTACACCGTTAATGACTCGGCTCTTGACCGCGAAGATGATGCAGGCGCCTCGGACTTTCTCGTTGCGCCGGTCGTTGTCACCCACAAGCAACCGGTGTCTCCTCGATCCGGTTCGGGCTCGGGCTCGGGCTCGCCGCAATCCTCGGGCTCTGGCTCTGGCTCTGGCTCGAGCTCACACCGCCGCCGCCGTCGCCGTCGCCGCCGCCGCCACCGGATCCGGAGCCGATCCAACTCTCCGTCGCGTGATGCGCTGCTCAATACTGTCCTTGGTCGTATCGAGCAAAAGCAGGAGGCGAGCGCGCTTCGCGAGGTTCGCGCGATCATGGACGCACAGGTCGCTGCCGGCGGATCCGGTGACAACTGCGGGAGTGACTCCGGCAGTCGCGCCAGTAAGCAGTGCGAGCAGGGCGAGACTCCGGGCGACGTCTTTGTTCTTGTCGACGTCGCTGAGGGCTCGCCAGACCAGCCGCGCATGGCCTACGCCTCGCTCACCGATTCGGATGACGACGGCGAAGCGGGCTCGGGCGGCCGCGGGTACACCTCGTCGTACGCCAAGCTCTTTTCGCAGTACCTTGCTGCCGCCCCGCACCTTCAGCTCCCGGACTCTGTGTTTGAGGTCGACGAGCCGCCCGTCTCGACCGAGCCGGCACCGGCCGCGCCCGCCCCTGCACTTGACTCCACCCCTGATTCCGCTCCTGCACCCGCCCCACCCTCGCCGCAAGACGAGGCCCAGGGCTGGCTGGCGTGGGCGTGGACCGGATCGGTGGGTAAGGCTGCGTCTGTCCTCGGTCAGCTGCCGGAGCTTGTGGGCGGGCGCAAGCCGGCAACGCCCGCGGCGGTCAGTGAGGTCCTTGTCGGGCCGGACGATGTGGCTGTGGACGAGCTACTCGCGCTTGTGGGCCGTGCGCGGCCGGATGACGGCCCGTTCACGACAATAGTGACGACCCGGCAGGGCGCAGTGTCAGTGGCGCTTGCGCGGGAGCAGGGGCTCGACGCGCAGGGCTTTGCCTGCGTCTTTTGCGCCGCCGACATTGATGCCGACAGCTCGCGGGTGTGCAGCTACACCGGCGGGCGGTACTGCACCCAGTGCCACCCGGGAACGACTTCGTACCTGGTGCCCGGACATGCGGTCCGCAACTGGGACCTCTCACCGGCACCGGTTGCCGCCGACTCGTTCGAGTTTCTATCGTCGGTCGCGCGGATTCCGTGCATTCCACTGGCGGTCGTCAACCCGCACCTCGTCGCCCGCGTTGTCGACATCCGTCTTGTTCTTGCTCTACAGGCCCAGCTCGCCATCCTCGGCCAGTACGCGCGCGCCTGCCATGAATGGAACCAGCTGCGGCAGCTCGTCTGGCCGCACGAGTACCTGATGGACTCACCGGGCGTCTTTTCGCTGCAGGACATCTCGGCGATTGCATCGGGCCTCCTCCGCGACCGACTCCAGCGCATGGTCCTCGCCTTTGCTCAGCACGTCCTCGTCGACTGCGACGTCTGCCCCTATCGCGGCCACATTTGCGAGCTGTGCGCAGAGCCGTCGCCCATTCACGCCTTTCAGCTCAAGGAGGTGAGCGCGTGCGGCGCGTGCGGCGCTGTCTTTCACCGCGAATGTGCCAGCGGCCGGCGGGCCTCGAACGCGGCCGTTGACGATGACGACGGATCGGCATCGGATGCAACGGATGCGTCAGCGTCGGTTGCCAGTGGGTCTATCGGTGCCATCGCGGGCTGCCCGCGCTGCGCGAGGTTTGCCGCACGGGCGGCAAGCCGACGTGACAGCGGCAGCTCGGGCAGCAGCGGACCGCACTAGCGATGCCGTGGCGTTTACTGGAAGGCCAGGTCGGCTACTGACGCGGCTCAAAGACCTTGGCGACAGCGTTCTTAAAGGCCTCGACGTTGTAGTCGATGAGGCCGTGCTTCTCGTACTTGTCCTCACGGAGGAGGGCGACGAGGGCGAGGTAGCGGGTGACCTCCTTCATGTAGAGGACCATGCCGTTGTTGAGGTGCATGACTGATGCCGACTCGGCGTCGTAGCCGAGGCCGGTGTCGTCGTTCTCGCCCATGCCGTAGATGCAGCCGACGTCGATGACGACGTCAATCATGTCGGAGCAGAGCTCGTAGGTCTGCATGTCGACGGGCGACGAGTCGTCGGCAATGTAGATCTTGGGGACGACATCAAAGAGAAAGGCCTTCTCGATGCAGCAGTTGGAGATGAGAATGTCGAGCAGCTGCTCGAGTGTCGGCAGCTGCGGAATGAGCTTCTGGATGACCTTGGAGAAGGCCTCAAAGATCGAGTGGTCGTAGATGGAAGTGAGGTAGAACGAGATCTGGATCTGGTCCTCGAGCTCGGCGTCGGCAATGTTGGCGAGAACGTGCTCGACAATGTCCTGCTGGCGGACAGTCTTGGCGTCGTCGGAGAGGCCGTCGACCTTGTGGATAAAGACCTCAAAGCAGATCTCCGGGTTGATCTCGTACGCCCTCAGGACCGTGGTGTGGAGCTTGGCAATGGCCTCGCGGTAGTTATCCTGCGCGTCGATGACAAAGATGAGCGCGCCGGTCTGGGCAAAGAGCCCCTCGTTGTCAAACGCCGGGTTTGACTCGTAGCCGACCTGGCCGGGCAGGTCCCAGATCGAGTACGAGATGAGCGACGACGACGCGATTTCCGACTTGACAATCTTGGTCGTCGACTCGAGAAAGAGCGTCTCATTGGGCGACATCTTCTGGAAGACGACCTTCTGGATGGACGACTTGCCTGACCTCCGCATGCCCATCAGCAGAATCCTCGGCTTGTTCTCGTAGCCCTGCTCAGCCTCTCCCCCGGCGTCTTCCCCATACATATCCGGAAACATTTGCCCGTACGGCACCGAGCCCGACGAGAACTCATCGTACTGTCCACCCTCACAGACACACACACACACACACACAACGCACACACACACACACACACACATACATACACACACACACACACACACACCACACCTCCACCATAAGTCCCTTCTTCCTCCCCCCTCCTCTCCCCCCCCCCCCCCCTACCATGTCTGCCCCTTACCCTGCCCGCCGGAGGATGACCTGCCACCTTCAAGTCACACGTCGCCAGGTCGTCACCCCCCCTCCCACCTCCTCCCCCCCCCCCCTCCCACCTCCCCCCTCCCTCCACCCACCCATCCTCCCACCCCCCACCCATCTCCATCTCCTCACACACAAAAGTAGTATGGTCGTACCCGGTCGTTCATGTTGTACGCGCACGTCGAGTGTAGCCGGAGGGGGGGGGTAGTTGTGGCTGGCTGGCTCTCGGTCGTCGTCGTCCACAATGCGGTGGCATGAGCTGATCGATCAAAGGGGGAGTCAATGGGGGGGGAGGGGAGGGGAGAGGGGGGAGGGGGGGGACACGTACATGCCACCATCAGCCCACTCTGTCCATATCTAACAATCACCCATCTCCTCTCGAAACCCAGCCCATTGGAGGACTGGGAATGGTGATCAGGTGGACGGGGGAGGAAGTGGAGATCGACTATGATGGTGGCAGTAGCAGACGGGGAGGAGCACAAGCCGACCAGGCCGACCAGGCGATCAGCCAGGCCGACCAGCCGATCAGCCAGGCCGACCAGGCGATCAGCCAGCCCGACCAGGCCGACCAGCCGATCAGCCAGCCCGACCAGGCCGACCAGCCGATCAGCCAGCCAATCCAGCCCGACCAGGCCGACCAGCCCGACCAGCCCGACCAACCAGCCCAACCAACCAGCCCGACCAGCCCGACCAGGCGATCAGCCAGCCCGACTAGGCCGACCAGGCGATCAGCCAGCCCGACCAGGCCAACCAGCCGATCAGCCAGTCATTCCAGCCAGCCAAGCCAGCCAGCCCGACCAGCCCGACCAGCCCGACCAGCCCGACCCAACTACACATTCGCACACACGACTCCCTCCAACACTACCATGGTACGAACAACCTTGTTGCCCCACGCCCTCCCCCCATGTGTCCCGTGTGTGCCCTGGGTAAAAGGGGGGGGGGGCGGTATCCACGGTCCCCGCTGCCTTTGCCATGTGTGTAGCAATTTTTGCAGGCCATGGCGGTGGCGATGGTCATGGCGGTGGCGATGGTCATGGCGGTGGTGACGACTACCACGACGACTGTGGTCACAGCTGCAATGCCGACGGCGACTCACACATGTCATCATCGATGGGATTAGGCGTCGACAAACACGTGTGATGTGGGCGATGATGTGGTGGCGGCGTTCAAGGCGTTCCGCAAGAAGAACGCAGAGGCTGGTGCGCTCATCCTCACCATCGATGGTGACGAGCGGATGGTCCATGTCGATGAGGAGATCGATGAGATCGACCTGGAGGAGCTGGCGGGCGACCTGCCGGACTCGATCCCGCGGTTCATTGTGTACTCGTACAAGTGGCAGCAGACTGCCGAGCGGGTCTCGTACCCTCTGGTCATGATCTTCTACTGCCCCTCGCAGTGCAACCCGTACTTTGCCATGATGTACACCTCGTCCAAGCACGTCGTCTGCAACAAGCTCTCGCTCTCCAAGGTATTTGATCTCGACGACGCCGACGATCTCAACGAGGAATGGCTCGTCGACAACCTCAAGAACATGCGCCTAACCCCCCCCCCCCCCCACTCCCTCCCCCGCCCCCCTCCCCCCCTCCCTCTCCCCCTACCATGCCCCACCCTCCTCCCTCTGACTGTCCATCGGCATCCTTCCATCGGCTGCCGGGCTCTACTTCGCCGCAGTAACACAGCCCACCATCCCTCCGCCGTCACCTCTCGTCTCTCTACCATTCGACCATGGGCTTCTTCACCGGATTCGTGGTTGGCGTCGGCCTCCAGACCTTCTCCAACGCCCTCCGCAAGCTCCCGCTTGCCTCCCGTACGAACTCTCCCCCCCCTCCCCCCCGCCTCCATCACCCCCTCTCCTCCCTCTC